AGCCCATGGCAAGACACATCACAATTAAAATGTCAAAAGCTAAAGACAAAGAGAGAATCTTGAAAGCAGCAAGTGAAAGACAGTTAGTTACCCACAAGGGAGCTCCCGTAAGACTGTCAGTTAATTTCTCAACAGAAACATTTCCAGACAGAAGGGACTGGTGTGAAATTTTCACAGTAATGAAAAGTAAGAACTTACAATAAAAAAATATTGGGTTGGCCAAATGGTTCATTCTGCTTTTCAAGTAAAAATAAAAGACACATTTTTCATTTTCACCAATAACTTTATTGAACAATGTATTAACCATTTGTTCCACTACCTTCTGCCATCTTTCAGACAATTTTGTAATTCCATCTTCCAAAACTTTTTATCTTTTTGAGCAAAGAACTATTCCAGATGCCTACTACAGTCTTCCAAGGAATTAAAATTTTTTTCATTAAGAGAATCTTGTAAAGAGCAAAATAAATGGAAATGTGAAGGTGAAATGTCTGGTGAATACAGCAGATGAATCACAACTTCCCAGCCAAGATGTAACAGTTTTTGCCTGGTCATCAAAGAAACATTCAGTCTTGCATTATCCTGATGGAAGATTATGCATTTTCTGTGACTAATTCTGGATGCTTTTTGTCAAGTGTTGCTTTCAGTTGGTCTAATTGGGAGCAGTACTTGTTGTAATCATTTGGTGTTCCAAATGATTAAGGAGTTCATAATAGAGGGCTCCCTTCCAATTCCACTATATACATAACATCACCTTGTTTGGGTGAATACCAACCGGCCGTTGGTGTGATTGGTGGTGGGTCATTTTGCTTGCCCCATGATCTCTTCCATTCTGCATTATTGTAAAGTATCTACTTTTCATTGCCCATCACAATTTGTTTTTAAAATGGAACATTTTGATGATGTTTACATAGCAAATTTCTTGTGGAAATATGGTCAAGAAGGTTTTTTTTTTCACTTAACTTATGTGGAACCCAAACATTAAACTGATTAACATAACCACACTGGTGCAAATAATTTTCAGTGCTTGATTTGGATATTTTGAGTATGTCAGCTATCTCCCACATGGTATAATGGTGATTGTTCTCAGTTAATGTCTTGATTTGATCTCTCTCAACTTCAACTCATCTACCCAACCATGGAGCATCATCCAGCAAGAAATCTTCAGCACAAAACTTCAGAAACCACTTTTGACAATTTGATCAATCACAGTACCTTCTCCATACACTGCATAAATCTTTTCTTACATTTCAGTGTGGTTTTGGTTTTACCATTCTTGAAATAATAAAGCATGATATGAAGCTTCTATCTTTGATATTAAAATAGCTACACAAAACTTCACCAATTTTGATATCTTTTTTAAACACATGCTGATATGACAGCTATCACAATGCAATCTAACAATATTGTTTTGAATGAAGTTAAAGACAACTAAGTGCTGCTAGAGCCATCTTACAGGGAAAAAATAAGACAAAGTTTCTGGCCAACCCAGCAAGGCTATCATTTAAAATTGAAGGAGAAATAAAGAGCATCTCAGACAAGAAAACCCTACAGTAGTTTGCTATCACCAAACCAGTATTACAAGAAATGTTAAAGTGTCTTCTTTAATAAGAAGAAAAACAAAACAAAAAGGGGAACATAGTTAAAAGAAAAAATGGCAATACATGCATACCTATCAATAATTACTTTAAATATAAATGGCTTAAATGCTCCAATCTGATGTGGACTCTGGTAAGTGGTGTTGTGGATTCAATGAACAAATTCATACAGACTACAGAAGTCCTGTGGAGAAAAAGGGACAGCTCAGCCACTCTCTGAGAGAGAGAGGGCTTCAACCCTTGCCTAAACAAGCTTTTATTGCTTTCTAATAGCATACATCAAAGAAGGTTCTCATTCATTATGCCCAGATTTGCTTTAGGTGATTACTTTTTACAGATAACAAAGGAAAGGATGTTACTTATTATTTCTTACAGGTTAACAAGAAAAGAATGTTGCAAATGCAAGGGAACGATAAGAATGATTGGTCTGATTATACTCCCTCCTTGGGAGAAGTATCACAGACTTCAGGAAGTTACTTTAAAGATATGCAGTAAACATTTGCTGCTTCAACTCAGGGTGAGTTTTAGCAAAAACAAGCCTCAAAGCATCCTAGGTATAACGCAGGCCTGGTTTCCCACAGGAAAGCCAATCTGTGGGTTTGGCTTCCTGTGTGCTGACTTATGCCTGCTAGTTTTCCGATAGGGCTGGGCTACATTTGCCATTGCCAGGCAGATTGGTTCCCTATACCAATCAAAAGGCAGAGGGTGACTGAGTGAAGAAGAAGACCCATACACATATGCTGACTATAGGAGACCCACTTCAGACTGAAAGACACCCAGACTGAAAGTGATGGAAAAAGAAATTTAATGCAAATAAAAATGAAAAAACACTGGGGTAATAATACTAATATTAGACAAAATAGATTTTAAAACAAAATGTATAAGAGACCAAGAAGGCCCCAGCAATTCCACTTCTGGATACTTAGCTGAAGAAACTCAAAACACTAATTTAAAAAGACATATGCATCCCTATCTTCACTGTGGCATTATTTACAATAGCCAAGACATGGAAACAACCTAAGTTCCCATCAATAGACAAATGAATAAAGAAGACGTGATACATATATACAATGCCAGATTGCTCAGCCATAAAAAAAGAGTGAAATCTTACTATTTGTAACAACACGGATAGACCTAGAGGATATTATGTTAAATGAAATCAAACAAAGAAAGACAAACACCATAATTTCACTTATATGTGGAATCTAAAATATAAAAATAAATGAACAAACAAAGCAGAAACAAACTCAGATACAGAAAACATTTTGATGGTCACCAGAAGGGAAGGATTTAGGAGGCTGGGTGCAAAAAGGGAAGAGATTAAGATGTGCAAATTGCTAATTACAAAAACAGTCACAGGGATGCACAGCACAGGGAATATAGTCAGTATTATCACGATAACTATGTATGGTGTCAGATGGGTAGTAGACTTCTCATGGGATCACTTTGTAGGGTATATCTAATCACTATGTTGCATACCTGAAACTAATATAATACTGTATATTAACCGCAATTGAAAAATTAAAAAAATTAAAGTTAATATGTATTTCAAAGCTCTAATAAATAAAGAGTATGACACTGGCATAAACATCCACAGAGACATTAAAGAACCATAGTTTGGTAACACAGACTAAATTACATGGGGAATTACAAAAGTTTCAGAAGGGTTAGCTGTGTGATGTGCTGGGGCCCAGAGAAACTTTGGCTTCTCACCTGCTCCCTTGTCCGCAAAGATCCCTGCATTCCAAGTGTGAGGTGCATATACCAGGGTCTGCTGGACATAAAACGACCTGCAGTCTGGGTCAGTGGACCAGTGTGGACAGTGGCTGATGACCAGAGGGGCTTCCCTAGGTGCTGACTCATGTAGGACCTCAGAATCTTTGCATAACCCTCAAGTTAGGGAAAAACAAACAGTTTTATAATTCTCAAAATAGAGAGCTCTTGTAATGATCAAGACTGAAATTCCCATTTGCCCTGTGGGATGTGTGCTTTAAGTTTAAAATAAATTTTCTTAAAATTAAGCCTGATCTTTATTCACAAAACCTTTTTTCATACAAACGAAAAAAAAGTGAGAACTAAAGGATGATAAAATTGTTAACTTTGTTCTTACTCCCTAGCCTGAGGAATAGAATATTATTAGCACCTCCACATTTATTTACATACCCCTGATCCTAGAGGGAACCATCATTCTGAATTTTTTGTTAATGCTTCTATTAGCATGTAAATGTATCCTCAAGCAAAATATTTAGTTTTTGTATATGTTTTTACTTTTTATAAATAGAATAATATAGTAATTATTTTTTTTCTATTCAGCTTTATCTTTTTGAGGTTTAATCATGATACTCTGCTGGTATGAATGTGACAATAAATGTGACACAATTTAATCATCCGTACTTCTGTTAATAAAGACTTAGATGATTGTCGGGTTTTGAATATTAGGAACAACGCTACTATGAATACTCTCCTAGATGTCTTTCTGTGTACATGCATAAAAACTTCTCCATATACATACTTTGGAATGAGCTTATGATCAACATTTCTAGGTAAGACCCATCTCTCTTCCATACTGCCTTTATTAATTTACACCCCTGACAGCAATGTATGTGAACTCCCTTGCATCTACCTCCTTAGAAGATTTGAGATGATCAGACTCTTAACCTGCAGAAAAAAAATGCCTCTTCATGGCATTTATGTTTCCATGCCTATACCCATTTATGTTTCCATGCCTAGGGAAGAGAAAAACCTCATGACATAGATTTGGAAGAGTTTTATAAAGGAAGTAAAGTTCTCCCTAAAGTTCAAGGCTAGACCTGAAATTTCCAGGGGGCTAGGGACCACAGGTCACCCAGTGTCTATTCAAGGAAGCACGCTGCATGGCCTGTACCCAGTGCAATTGTCCACTGATTGTTCCAGAACAAATAATGCTTCTCTGTATCCTTACCCATCCTTGCCCCATCAATAAGAAAGGATTAAGTGGCACTACAAAGCATCACTTCCAAGCAAACGGGGGAAATCTTTGCAGGTGGATCCCAGGAGGAAATGCCAAATCTAAAGCATGTTGAATATTCCTGACACAGTGGCATCCTGTCCCACTTTTCACAGACAATTACTTTCATCTCAGGTAATCTCGTCCTCAGATACACATATTCTTTACAGTTTATCTCTCATTTGCCCCTTTTAGCTGCTTTGGGAAACTCTCATGTTCTGGCAGTGAGATCATATGAATAACCAGTTGCATTAGGGAATCCAAAGCAGGATTTTAAGGCCTTCCTGGAAGCCCATTTATAAAGCTATCTGTGGAGAAAAAAAATAGACTTCAAGTTTGTAAGAAAAAATACAGTTGGGACTTCATATTTTGAAACTTGAAACAAGCAGAAAAATTTATTGCTCTTAGCTTGGTTCATCCTATAAATCTTGATCATTGTTTAATGCAACCTAAAAAGCAAAATGAAAAGTAAATATGTTTTAATACAATTAGAACTGTGAAAATGTACAAGCCAAAGAAAATAGAGTTTAGGAAATTTCTATGTGACTCTGTAAATGAAGTTTTTTCATCATTTAAAATAAAACCCAAATTCAATATAATAACTGTATCCTTGATGTATTTATAACCCACCCTCTCTTCTACTTCTCTTGCTATCCTCTATTGATATCCTTATCCTTCCTGCAGGAATCTTCTTCCTGTAGGTACCCCTTAAATGCTATATTTCTAACAGTTTCACTCTGAGCCCCCTCCTTTATTCTGCATGTTCTCCTAGATGCCTTACTCACCCTCTTAGCTTTGCTTAACCCATGACTGCTGAATTCCTATCTCCTGCCTGGACCTCTCTCCTGTCCTCCAGACCTGTGTTATACATCAACTGGCCTTTGGCTATTTTCACCTGCCTATCTCAGAGTCACCTGAAATTCAACGTGTCTACAACTGAAGCCATCATTTTCACAAAACCTACTTTCTGTTCTTTTGTTCCTCAACTCAACAAATGGTGAAGCTCAAAAATGTACAGTCCAGCTGCCCAAGGCAGAAATCTGGGCATCATCCTTGAATTCTTTCTCTTCCTTATTCTCCCAGTCAATATCAGATCTCAGTTCTACTCATCGCTGATGTTTGCACCCTGGTAATTTTGCATCTGGATGACTGTAATAACTTCATAAGTGGTCTCCTGTTTCCACTTCTGACCACTTAAATCCTCTCTCCACTTTCTAATCCTCTCTCCACTTTCCACTACACACATCTAATCCTTAAACCCTTTCAACAAGTCCCACTGCACTTAAGTCCAAAATCTCTAACCTGACAAGAGAGCCCTCTATGCATTTCTTCAGCTTCACACCATCCTCCTAGCTTCCTGCAACCCAGCCACAACACTGTACTATGTCAGTTCCTTGAAAGCATCTTCCTATCTGGGTTTATCTCAGCTGATAAACTTCCTTAAACTTCAATTCCTTGAGGAGGCATATCCAGGCTGGGTCATGCTTCCCTGCCCTCTTCTCTCAGCACCTTCTCCAATGGCCTATGGCCCCCAAAGGGCAGGAACCCAACCTGTTTTGTTCACTGGTATTTTCTAGCACCCTGCATAGTACCAAAACATTTAATAAAAGTTTTCCCACTGACTGATTATCACCCAGTTCTTCCAGCTCCACCTTCTGAAAAGCTTTTAAAAACACCATTTGCTACTGTCAGCCATCAATGTCAGCTCTGCCTGGGTGACTACAATAGTCTCACAAAGTTCTTGTGTTCACTCCATTCTCTTTCATATGCTGTAGCCAGATGGCCTTTTGAAAATGAAGTTCTAATCATATTAACCTTTAGGATAAAATCTAATAATCTAAGCACAGGTTAGAAGTCCTTTCATGGATTAGCCTCCACCTTCTCCCCTTCCTTATCTCCTCCCTCCCTGCTTCACACTCGCTATAGTCTTTGCTAGCTGGGTCTTCACACTTGCTGTGCTGTCAGCCCCCATCCCAGCACTGAGTGACAAATAACTGACTTCCGTCAGGAAGCCTTCGCTGACCAAGGTTCCTCAACTAGGCTGCTGTCCCACTTGTCAGGGCACATGGATTAAGGTGACTAAACGTATCTGTCTGCCAGGACAGTCTCTGTTTACACCTGCTGATCTGCTTCACTATCAACACTCCTCCTTTCACTCCCAAAGCATACTGAGATTTGGACAATAAATTACCTGGTCATTCTACCAATGACTATTAATCTCTTAGTCAGTTGTCTGTTTCTCCCCTAAACAAGGTAAAAAACTGTTTTATTCACAACAGCATCAGGCACAGTTGTTGGTGTGTAGAAAGCACTGTATGTTTCTTAAATGAAAACATTTATATACTACTGTAAAAGCATATACTTTCATCAAGATACTTATTTGGTTAAAGGGTTTGCTGCTGAGAACCAAAATATTGCCCCCCAAATGTAAAGATTATATATTTCACCAAATTATTTTAAATACGTACTTCGAAAATTTCAAAACCTAACTCCAAAATACATATATCATCCTCTGCACAAGAGGGCACACTGCTACCTCAACACAAACTTCCAGCTACTGTGCCACTAGTGCCGACACATTTGAAAGGAGCCAGACATATGCCCATCCTCACCTTGTGGCCAGCTGTGCATGTTCACAAAAGGGCAGAGCACCAAATGGGGATGTGGAAAACCCTTATTAGGGAACTGGTTTTCTTTATATGAAGCAAAAGACCCATCTACCAACCAACTCTGGCCTCATATGCACAAGGCTTTTCCAAAGTAAAAAAAAGAAAATCTGGTTTTCACAAAACAGTCTCCTAAAGATACTTACATCGGAGAGCACTGGTTCATCAAGTTCTTCCACTGTGCTCAAGTTAGGTGCCCCATATCGATCACTAATTTCAGCTAGTGTCTTGCTTGAGTCTGCTGCTGTACCCTACAATCATAAAATTCATTTTTTTCTTTTTTAAATATATTTTATTGATTGTGCTATTACAGTTGTCCCATTTCCCCCTCATTTCAACTTTTAAATGATTTCAAAGTTTACACTGATTTTCTTTCAATTTTGATATGAAATTTCTGAATGACATCAAAGTTCAGCCTTGTTAGTTAGTGGAATGAATCAACATGTGTTGATGATAAGAGAATTCTAGGAATAAATTCTAAAACTTGTGTAAAAATACATTCAGAAATATAAAACATATCATTGTAAGTAAGCATGTGTCAATATGTCATAAAATTCTTGTTTTTAAAAATACAAACAGAAACAAAATGTCCAATTTTTATCCACTTTGAGGTTTTGCTTTAAAATTTAAAACATCATATTTGTGGCTTGACATTACTAGAATATATATTTGGCCTATCAGTTTTGATAATCTACTGATTAAAAATTTAGCTACTGCCTTGGCTGGTGTGGCTTAGTGGATTGAGTGCCAGCCTGCAAACAGAGGGGTTACCAGTTCAATTCCCAGTCAAGGCACATGCCTAGGTTGCAGGCCAGGTCCCCAATAGGGTGCTCATGAGAGGCAACCACACATTGATATTTCTCTCCTTCTCCTCCTTCCTCCCTTCCCCTCTCTCTAAAAATAAATAAATAAAATCATTTTAAATATGTAGCTACTAATGTATCATAATAAAGCTTAACATAGAATAAATTTTCTTTTCACCTTTGGGGATGAAGTATCTTCACCTCTAGCTATATTTTCCATCTTCATTTTCATCTCCTGTAATACATAAACAAAGAAAAATACTTTGAATATACTTTTCATTTTGATTACATGTTTAATTTTCAAACATTTTTATTTTTACATAAAGCTATGATCAATTTAATAGTGGAAATGTTAGCACTCTTAAAGGAGTTATTTGAATACAATTAATATAAAACTGCCAGTCAGTCTTTTTTAATACTCTATACTAATAGAAGACAACCATGTTTTGTTTACAATTAAATATAATTTTTAAAAAATGAAATGAAATAGACTGAAACATCAAAGCTGAAGCCAAATATTAGCAAATATAAAAAGTGACAAAACAAAAATATTAATAAACTCTTAGAATATGAGGTTTTAGAGAGAACTTGCAGTTAAATAGAATGATACACACAGTAAGAAAGAGGTAAATATTTCTGAAGAAATTAACCTGGCCCCAGTCACTATCCAGTACATGAATCCTTCCACAGTACCTGAGCAATGCCCTCTATAGTATTGCGAGCACATGGGAGGCCTTGTTCTTGATGTGAAAAAGTTCTTCCAACCAACAAAGCTTTGCTATGGTCTCTATCTTTTCATTTTAAGGCAGCAAGATGACCTAAATGATCTTGAGCTGATTCATTTTGACTGTTTAAAGATTAGTGATCTCATGAACATGTATATGGTCACCATAATTATAGGAATACATCTGGTATATTTCTCAAGGCCATTCCATTCTTCTGTAACATCTTAGCCCACCACCACATAGCTATAGTGGCAAGGGGTCCATATTCTCATAGGACCTTGTCCCCCAGCCAATGGATGAATACCTGACACAAATTAAGCCAGTCAGAATCCTTCCCTAAGAAGCAGAAAAAAAAAAAAAAAAGGAATCCACTACTCTCAGATGGTAGGAGCCACAACATTGTGAAACCCAAGAGTCTTCAAGGACTATGTCTTTCACTGTGTGCAGCAAACCAGGCAATTGTGAGAGAGACTGAAACTAAGGACCAGAGAATAGCAGAGTTGAGAACCCAGGTAACATTTGATTTTCATCCTCCCAATTGTACCAGAGCCCTTTGAGGTTTAGTTGTAAAACCCTTTCTTCAATGCAAGATCCTTCCAATAAATTTCCTTTTGCAAATGATAGTTTAAATTGTATCTCTGCGCCACCAAGAGGCCAAAGTGAAAAGACATAAATGGACCTGCCTCTGAGCAATAGGCAAGGCAGGTGTACTTTGCAGGAGAGAGGTGAGAAGTGATAAACCACTAGAAATATGGACTATTGAAGTTATTGTGGTTCTGGTCACAAGGTCTAATGATGCATGCAGAGAGTAAATCATGAGTTACAAAACAATCCAATCCCTCCTATAAATCATAGAATTTCAAACATTCAAATATAGTGTGAACCTTGAGGGGAAAAAAGACAGTTACTAAGAAGGGTATCACTGGGCTCAAATTTTTAAAACAGAGCCTAGCAGCCATTTCTGCACAGGGGTTTCTCATGCAAGCTGCACTCCACAGAGAAGCCATCACTGAACTGCCTGACTGCACTGTGTTTCTACTATCTGAGCCAGCCCTTATGAGGAAGTTCCTAGAATCCTATTTCATCCAGCAAGACTGAGGCTTTCCCCATCCCACTGGAGCAGTGCAGTTCCAATCAGGAGTGACCAATCAGGACAGTGCCTTTTGGACTAAACTGGGGTTTTGGAGTCCTCATTTGCACAAGGATGGACCAATTGGGGACTTAGGGCAAGGACTTCTGCCCATATAAATCAGCTCCCTGCCTGACTCAGAGAGTGCATTTTCCCTTTCCAGGGGAGAATGAAGACTATGTATCATCCCCGACTGAGCTAAACCACCAAATATATATAACCAGAGCAGAGTGAAGTATGCCATCACAAAGCAGAGCAGACTAGCAGCACAAAGCAGACCAGCATGGAGCAGAGCAGAGCAGAGCTGTGTAGCAGGAGAGGGACTAGGCCCCAGGGCCACTTCGCCTTGGAGCTGTTCAGTGTACTGCTTTCACAGCCTTGCTCACCACTATTGAGCTGTTTTGCACTGAATAGTTTCCTTCTTCACCACACTCCAAATTGGGGATCCTTGGTAGTATTGAATATTGTGCAAACAACCATTGGTTGACAATAGCAATCAGGGTATCTCAATAAAAAATACTTTCAATTCTCTTATCATTTTGATCATTGTCTTCTTGATATTCTGTTTTTTCTCTTTTCATTTTAGATCATGGAATCTTAACTGAATAGAAAAGGGGTATGTATTTGTATTTATGTGTGTGTGTGTGCAGGCATGTATATCTGTGTGGCCTACTATACTCAGACTAAAATAGCATCAGCATCTGTATATTTTAAAACCATGCATAAAGCTTTGAATTTATCCTTTAAAAGTACATCTTTTTAAATTCATTTTACCCTTACAACTTTTTAAAAATTGTTTTAAATAATGAAGCTGTCACCTAAGCTGTTAATAAACATAGTTTATAAAATCTGCTTCTGTTTTTATTTAATTATGTAATAGAAGAATAACATTTATATAACAGATGCTAGCTATACAAGTACAATATGAAATATTCAGCTGAAAAGTATAGCTCAGTCATTCAAAAGTTCGGTCTATATGACACATACTTTTGGGATAACAAGAAACATTGGTCAAACTAGAAGCTTGACATATCACACAGACATAGTAAATGGAGATGGACTTTTTGACTTAAGTTACTGCATAGATTATTTAATAAAAGGCATGAAAAATCCACACTGACAACATATTTTAAATGTAAATTATTGTTGGTAACACATCAAACGTGATGAAAAGAGACACACTACTGTGTCAGAGATCAGAATACCCTGATATTACAAAGAACTTAACCTTCAGTACCAACCACCTTAATTAGAAACAACAATCAACCACCACAATTAGAAACAACTATCTCTTAATTAAAATGTTGATAATATCACTATTAGAGAACCATTAATATCACTATTATAAAACTGCTCACAAAGCAGTTTTGAACCATGATCTTATTTGATCCTTAAAATAACTCAGTGAGCTATTGCTAATAATATTATACTGTTATCTCTTTTTTAAAAAATGTAAACTGAGACTAAAAAAGTTGTAAGATTTGTTTGAGTCACACAGCTAATGTGCAGCAGGTCTTTAGACTATGAATCCCATGATAACATCTAGAAAAAAACAGGTTGAGAATCCTGAGAGGTTTTAAATAAAACAAACATTCATAAAACTTCAAATTACCTTCTCTAACTGTTCTTGAGCTCTCTGTAATTCTTCTATTCTCTGTCTCTCTTTTTCTTGCATTTCCAACTCCAGCTGGAATGCCAGCTGTTGCTGAATATTAAAAAAAATAAGGAAGTCATATTAGAGTCAAATCAATGGCAAGAAATTTCCTTTATCATTCTGAAATGTCCCAGGATAATTAACTCTATACCCACCTAAATTTCAGAAACTTACAAAAATAAATGATCACAGCTATCTAATACTTTAGCTTTTATAAATATTTCCTGAACTATAAAATTATAAGGGAAGCTTCCTTAATTGCAAATTGTAGGAAAGCAGTTTGTACAAAATCAAGTCATCTCTGTTCTTCTTGAAGCAACAAATGAGATTAGAGTAATTTTTTCAGATAAAAACTCATTAAGTATAGATGGATGGGTCTTCAAACAACCAAAACTTGGTTACAGAGAGTGAATGAGAAAACCCTAAGTATATTTTTTGAAATCATTCATAGTCAACAATATATTTGGTCCCAACTCAACATACATACCGTACTAAATTCTGTGGGCTGAATCTGACTCACTCCTGTTTTTGTACAGCTTTCAAGCTAAGAACGATTTTTAAATTTTTAAGAGGTGGAAAATTATCAAAGATAATAATAATAATTATCATGCAAAATTCAAATTTCAGTCTCTATAAATAAAGTTTTATTGAAACACTGCATGGTCACTTCTTTGCTGCTTTTGCACCACAACCACCACAACAGCACAGTTAAGTAGTTGCAACACAGACCACAGGTGATGCTCTTTTCACTCTGCATCCCTGCTCAGCACACTAGGAATCACAGTGACACCATTATAATTCGACAGTTTTGCAGTGCCACAGTAACACTATACTGCAATACCAATTTTTAATCAGCGTATACCCATCATGTATTATATAAATAGAAAATGGATTTGAATGTTGCCCTTTTAAGACAGAGTGGAGAGTGGATTGTTTAATTATCAAATTAAATGGCAAAGTATGGTGCTTTTTAAAGCAGTGGGCACTGTACTAAAACAATACAATAGTATCAATATTACCAGATTAAGCACTCATTACAGTATTACCAAGTCACATGAAAAAAAGATCAGAAATATTTTTCTGATAAAAAGTTATAACAATTTTTTTACCACAACAGAACTTCTTCACAAAAATTAAAATGAGGTTGCAACAAAAGTACGTTTCCCAGTGGCTCATTTGTAAGTCAAGAAAAGAAACACATTTTCCTAATGTGATTTAATTAAAACATGTTTGATTTCAGAGTCCAGGAAAAAAAATAGCTTATTTAACAGTTTTAGCCTTAGGGTGAGAAAAGTTGCTCACAGAGCTGATGACATTGGGAGAAACATCAATAGTAAATTAAATACAAAGCAAATAACTCTGAGTGGTTTTCCTTAGCTCTTGATGAGTGGACAAACGTTCCCAACACTGCTCAGTTGTTATTTATTCAAGGAGTCAGTGCTGAATTTCAAGTGACTGAAAGTGAAAGTGATTGAAGAATCAGCCTCTATGAAGTCTTCATGGGGCAACTACAAGCAATAATATTTTCAAAAAAGTTGAGAAACATTAATTCAGTCCATCAAAAAGTAAAATCTGCCAAGATGCGTTTCAACAAATGATAATAAAAATATGCATGGAACAGTAAAAGGCTTAGTTGGACAAATTAACAAAGCTCGTGAAAATCCAGTGCTTAAATCCTATGAGAATTCATTGTATTATTCAACAGCAGCTACTCAAGAAAATCTGTCACGTGCATTGAGCCAGTAGTGTCAACAGTGTCCTTCATTCACTCTTATGAACTTAACCATCATCAGTCCTGTGGGGTTTTGTCAGCATTAGGAGATGAATAAATCTTGACTTGCCCTACCACATGGCAATTTCATGGCTTAATGATGGTAATGTTTTATTGTGAATTTTTGAGCTCGGGGTCAAGACTGAAATTTTTCCAAATGAGAAGGACTATTCTCAACCACTATTATCAAATATTAAATGGCCCTGGAAATTAGCTTTTTGCTGTAGACTTAATAATTTTTTAACCAATTCAACCTAAAATTATAAGGCAAAACAGCACTTATATATAAAACTTAAATTGCAGAAAAATCATTTCAACAACTAATGTTTGAATCACAATGTCACACTGCTTTATATACTTCCAGTACTGTCAGAACTAGAATGATAAGCTAGGTTACCATTCCCACACAAATATGCAGCAAATATATTCTCCAAGCTCAAACTGTAGTTTTGGAGTGTTGTTAGGTCACAATATAAGTAAAAAGAAAATTTCCATATATCAAAATCCATTTAACTGTGTAATTGATAAGCTTGTACCAACCTTCAATTGGACATGATTAATAAATAAGGCAATGGCATGCTAAAAGGCAAATATCAAGAAAAAATCTAACAGAATTCTACAAATACCTTCTAAGAGATAAATATGCTCAAAATTATATGCACATGGACTGATATTAATATTTGGCAGGACCTTTGTGTGAAAAGATACTTTCAAAGATAAATACATAAAACCTCATTTCAGGTCAGCACTAACAAACAAACATTTTCAATCAATTTTGGTGATAGGGAACATTAACTTTGAACTCCAACTAAATGAAATGTTATCTTTTTAAACAAGAATTTAATTCTTCTCAGTAGTAAGCTATATTGCAAAAAAATCTATTGAAATGTTATTATTTATTTCACCAATAAAACACTTGTGGAAATTTGTTTTCTCTGTTGCTATAGCTACCTAATACACCATAAGACCTATCCTCAATTTTGCCTCTAAAATATCTACCTTTGAGGGAAGTGTTTGCCAGCCCCTAAGCCAGAAACAATTTCTCACCATCAATCTGGCACTACCTCATAAACATGCTAATAAGCTAATCCCATTAAGAGCATTTTAAAACTATAAATTTCTCTGACATTTTTAAAAATGTCACACCACATGTTTTATGGAGTTTAGAGGGAGAAGAAGGGAGGGAGAGAGAGGGAAAGAAACATCAACATAAGAGAGAAACATCAATTGGCCACCTCCCACAGGCATCCCAATGTGGGATCTAACCCGCAGCCAAGGCACGTGCCGTGACCAAGGATTGAACCCACAATGCTTTTATGCACAGGATGATGCTCCAATCAACTGAACCACCTAGCCAAGGCTAAAACTACATTTTTAAAATTGATTTTACAAAATTATACATTTTACCACATAGAAATAATAAACAGTGGTTAATACATTCACAAAAGGCTATTAAGAGTAATTTCTTTGCATTCCTATATTAAGACAGGTAGCTGACATACAGGAACATATCATTCAATCAACTTTCAGACATTGGTAGAGGAGGTTAAGTAACTCTAATATCTCAAAAATAATGCAAAATACAGTTCTTAAATATCAACCGTACTGGTCAACATAAATAGTTTCTTAACATTTCAGGACATTTTCAAAACCCAATTCTTTTCTTCACACAAGGAAAGTAAAATCATTAGAAAGATGCTCAAGTGAATTTTTAAAAGCTTTTATTTCCAAAATAGGCTATTCAGCAATAAAAATACTATCTTGTTCATGAGGACCTGGACTTGTTGGAGAGTACCTAATTTTTAAGGAATTTCAAGTCATTATTATTATGAATACCTGCCCTTGCAATCAACAGGTAGGTGACCAGCATCCTGAATCACCAGCTCATTTGATTGAGGTGGAATGTAGAGGTCTGTTTCCTTCATTTCAGCCTCACTCTCTTAAGCTTTTCTCTGTTGGTCCAACTCTCCACATGTTCCTTCTCCTATTCTCATCTGTATCTGCCCACCAACCTACTTCTTTAACTGGCCATAAAATCTTTTGCAGAATATCACTATATCTTTCACTCCCAATACAATGCTTACAGTTTTATGCACAGTGAATTGCTTTATAATAGTCAACATTCGATAGATAGAGAAATGTTACATTTCTAGTATTGACAAATTTTATCTAAGTAAGATAAACTAAATGAGTGAAAGAAAGTTAAGTATCTCCACATTGACGATATAATTTCTCTTGGGGAAGGAGAGCTGCTGGGAAGTTTTTCTTATTCTGTTAGATGCAAAACAGACAGAAGTCAAAGGATCTGCTAAGAGGAAGGGCATATCCTCACTCAATGTTGGGGCCACTCTAGTGGACACTTGCCTGTTTGGATGATTATTTGACATGCAACTCAACACTTTGCAACTTCCCCAGAAGAATAAGCCAAATGATTAAAAAATGAAGACTAAGAAAAAGCAAAGTTTTCAACAACCATATCCATTCCAAGGTGCCTAAAATATTCTACCCAGTATCAAGAATGGGAGATTAGAGACTTCTGGACAAGATGGAGATGTAGGTAGATACACTTTGCTTCCTTGCACAACCAAAAGAATAACAACAACAAATTTATAAACAAAAAACAACCAGAACTGCCACAAAATGGAACTGTATGGAAGTCCAACAACCAAGGAGTTAAAGAAGAAACATTCATCCAGACTGGTAATGGGGGCAGAGACCAGCAGCTGGGGAAGAGAGGACATTGCAAGGCAACAGCTGGAGGAGGACTGGGTGGGCAAGACAGCAGCTGGTGCACTGGGTGATCCCACATTTGCATGTAGATAAACCAGGAGGAACAACTGGGGAGCCAGACAGACCACACAACCCAGGATTCCAGCACTGGAAAAGTAAGCCTCAAAACCTCTGTCTGTAAAATTCTGTGGGGGTTGCAGCAGCAGGAGGAACTCCCAGCATCACAGGACAGTTCATTGGAGAGACCCACAGGGTCCTAGAATGCACACAAACCCATCCACCCAGGAATCAGCACCAGAAGGGCCCAATTTACTTGTAGGTAGTGGAGTGACTGAAAGTGGGGTGAGAGCCAAGAAAGTGGCATTGTTCCCTCTCTGACCTCTCCCCCACATATAGCGTCACAATGCAGCAAAGTGGGTTGCACCACCCTGGCAAATACCTAAGGCTCTGCCCCTTACAATGTAACATGTGTGCTGAGACAAAGAAATATAGCCCAAATGAAAGAACAGATCAAAGCTCCAAAAATAGAGCTAAGCAAGGAAGAGATAGCCAACACTTCAGATGCAGAGTTCAAAACACTGGTAATCAGGATACTCACAGAATTGGTTGAGCATGGTCACAAAATAGAGGGGAAAATGAAGGCTATGCAAAGTGAAATAAAGGAAAATATACAGAGAACCAATAGTGGAGGAAAGGAAACCAGGACTCAGATCAATGATTTGGAACAAAAGGAAGAAATAAACGTTCAATCAGAACAGAACAAAGAAACAAGAATGAAAAAAAATGAAGAGAGAATTAGGAATCTCTGGGAAAATTTTAAACATTCCAACATCTGAATCATGGGGGTGCCAGAAGGACAAGAGGAAGAGCAAGAAATTGAAAACTTACTTGAACAAATAATGAAGGATAAATTCCCCATTCTGGCAAAGGAAATAGACTTCCAGGAAGTCCAGGAAGCTCAGAGAGTCCCAAAGGAGTTGGATCCAAGGAAGCACACACCAAAGCACATCATAATTACATTACCGAAGATTAAAAATAAGGAGAAAATCTTAAAAGCAGCAAGAGAAAAGGAGACAGTTAGTATTCAGTCATGAAAGTCAAGGACCTACATCCAAGATTACTCTATCCAGCAAAGCTATCATTTAGAATGGAAGGGCAGATAAAGTGCTTCCCAGATAAGGTCAAGTTAAAGGAGTTCATCATCACCAAGCCCTTATTATATGAAATACTAAAGGGTCATATCTAAGGAAAAGAAGATAAAAAACATGAACAGTAAAATGACAGCAAACTCACAGCTATCAACAACTGAACCTAAAAACAAAAGCAAAAATCAACTAAGCAAATAATTAGAACAGAGACAGAAATGGAGATCACATGAAGGGTTATCCAAGAGGAGTGGTTGGGGGAGGGGCAGAAGATACAGGGAATAAGAAGCATAAATGTAAGTACAAAATAGCCAGAGAAAGGTTAAGAATAGTATAGGAAATGGAAGGTGCCTCATTAGCACAGTACGTAGTGTGTCAATCTCATGATCTCAAGGAAATGGAGAAACCAAAGAACATATATGTATGAGCCATGGACATGAACTAGGAGGGCGGGGGAATGCTGGTGGGAAGGGGGGTGCAGGGCAGAGGGGAATAAAGGAGAGAAAAAAACTGGACAACTGTAATATCATAATCAATAAAATATATTTTTAAAAAGAATGAGAGATAAAAAAGCTATTTTCCATATCTATACTTCTTATTAATGCATTAAATAACTGGCTTCTTTCCCTTTTTTAAATATAAAAACTCAAGTTGAAACTCTAGAGTTAAGTACTATATGGTAGAACTATAGGGGTGACTTAAATTTAGTTGAGAATCTCCCCATAAATTAAATTGGTCCAGAAGCCACTCTGGAATTCTCCCCTATCCAGTTAATACTCCATGACCCATTCATCCAACCATTGTCTTCCCAACATTTTCATTTCCTCAGTCCTGCTACCCTAGACCTACTTCAGTCAAAGGGTCTGCCTCTGCCACATCTTCACTCAGATATCCAGATCTAAGTGCAGAAAATCACATAATCACTAAACCAGATCAGATGGAAACTTTATAAATGCTTGATCTTCCAACTATATCAGGGTACTCATACTCAGTGCTACAAAGTAATGCTAAGTTTCCTCAATCAAGTCTCTGCCATTCTCCAAAGCCATTATTTCAAACCCTTCACCATTCCGCCACACCTCCTACTTTACCACCTCATTCTTTTTTAAAAAATATTTTATTTATTTATTTTTAGACAGAGGGGAAGGAGGGAGAAAGAGAGGGAGAGAAGCATCAATGTGCAGTTGACTCCCACATGCTCCCGGCTGGGAATCAAACCTGTGACCCTTTGGCTTGCAGGCTGGCCCTCAATCCACTGAGCCACACCAGCCAGGGCTACCATCTCATTCTTAAAAAAATGATCATGGTCCCTACTTGATAAAGAACAATCACACAGAAACTACTTTCAACTTTGTGCCACAAATCCTATATACCCACGTGCACCTATGCCATACTCTCCTCTTTCCTTGACTCAAGGAATAAAAGAAGTGCCCTTCTACCTACATGATCTTTGTTACAGACTCAATTTCCATTTTTTCTCCATGGAAAGCTGACTCTAGAAATCATCCCCTCTATTTATTAACGTCAATCCCTCCCCTATGTTGCAAAAAATAAAAAATAAAGAAAAAAAAACAAAAAAAACCCTTCCTTAAAAATCTGCTCGAAAGTATTACCTGTACTTACCATCTCCCTTGCTATAGTCCACACTGCTCCCACCAAAGTCATGACTAGTGGCCTTGAATGAGCACTTTGCAGTTTGCTCTCACCCAATCAGCCTACACATGGTTGACCACGGAGGTCTCACTAAGACACTCTCTACCCCTGGCTTGCTTGGGAGCTCTCTCTGAGTTTTTCTCCCTCACTGCTGCTGCTTCCCCAGCAAAGACGACATATACATCAAGATGAAGATGTAAGAAAACTACCCCTGGCTGGCATAGCTCAGTGGATTGAGCATAGGCTGTGAACCAAAGTGTCACAGGTTCAATTCCCAGTCAGGGTATATGCCTGGGTTGCAGGCCATGACCCCGAGCAACCGCACATTGATGTTTCTCTCTCTCTCTCTTTCTCCCTCCTTTCCCTCTCTAAAAATAAATAAATAAAATATTTTTTAAAAAGATGTAAGAAAACTGTATATGAGTACCTAGACATAGGAGCTTTTCAATATTTGTGTTGCCTCACACCCAGGCTGATACTGTTAATTTCAGTCACGTCTGAACTTTATTACTCATCTCACCTGCTGAAAGATAAGCTCTTCTGCTTTGAGCCTTTCCATCATTTCCTGCTCCGTCAGAGCTAGTTCTCTTTCATGCTCCAGTTCAGCCATTTCCTTTTGTCTCTAGCATTGTATAAAACAGTACCTAATTAGTACACATAACTAGAGATAAAACAACTTGTAAAAACAATTGGAAAGCATCTTAATTGCCAACAGTAGGGAAAGGGTTAAGCAAAATATAGTCTATCCATTTGAGAACTGTATAATACTTTGGGGAAACTTGTTTTATTTGAATAAAAGGCATAGAATTAAAGTTGTACATTTAGTGTGATCATAATTATGTAAACAAATCCACACACAAATGTAGAAAAAAAGATTAGAATACCTAAAAATCTAAATAGAAGTCCTCTTTGGAAATTTTTTTCTTTCTACTTTTTCATGTTGTCTAAGGTTTTGTATGATAAGCACACTACTATAGTAAGAAATAATAATACTGAGCTTTTAAAAAGCAAGTAAATGGAACCAACTATTTTTCTCTTGTAAATTTCTAAAAGATCCATACTTACCAGTTCCTCCATAGTCATATTTTCCTTATACTTGTAAATCCACAATGCTAAATATTCTATTGGATCCACTGGTCGAATTCTCGCCACTTCTGCAAGACCTTGAGTTAGACATGTCCCAAGGTGCTCTTGAAGATATGTTGACTCCATTTCTAACTCCTAACTTCTAAAGGATAAATGTTTTTGCATTAACGCAGGAAATTTTCATTTAAGACACAACAAAAGTCCAATGAGGCCAACAAAGCATTACATCCTGTCACCAGTCATGGGCACCTCACATCAGGGATGATACCAGCAAGCTGGCCTTAGGAAACTTCTAATGGTTTCCAAAAAAGGCCCCACAGAAGTCACTACAATTAAAATAGTTTCAAAATCTTGAAGAGCCCTCAAATTCAAGAGTCAGAAAATGAATACTGTCATTACTGATTGTGAGAGGACTATATGCCAAGCAATGCATGTCCCATTTAATCCTTACAAAACACCTGGAAAATAGATGTCATTATCCCCATGGTGCAAATGATGAAGTCCAGGCACAAAGAACATAAGTGAACAGTCCAGGATCACACAGGTGGCACATGGTTAAGGTAAGATTCATACCCAACTCTTGATTCCAGAGTTGTTACCCTAACATCTGTACTAAGATGCTACTCCCAAGTCATGGGAATCATTTTTAGAAAACATCACAATAGTTCACCTCAAAAAAAAAAGTCCATGAGTCTCTAAGTCCAAAGAAAAAAAAACAATTAATCTTCAAAGAACAGCATATGAGGCTCCTGACACTCTCACCCCAATTTTCTTTTGAGGCCACCTCGACAACTCTTTTGCCTATATTAAACCCTGGGCTCTAACTACATTAAACACTCTGCCATTCTGCTGATAACACCTTGCACATTTCCAACTCCATGACTATTTAACAGGATGATGCCTCTCTCTCTCTGTCTCTCTCAGCTTGGAAAGTATGCCACACCTGCAAGATAAAGATCATCTCCCATTCCCTGAGCTTACCCAGGCAATGAAAAAAATTCCTCCTTCCCCAATTCCTGATTCTCCTGGTAATTCTAGCACCTGTCTGGCACCATGCATAGTCATTAAATATTGACTCTACTCCCTATGCTGCACTTTACATCCTGTGTCTTTTGTAACTAACAATTCGTACTTTTTAATCCCTTCATCTTTTTCACCAAGCCCCACCCCCCTCCCATCTGGGTGTGTGTGTGTGTATACATTGAGTACCTATTATATGATACTGAGTACCTATTATATGTTGGGTATGAGCATTGTAGGGGGCAGAATGTTAGTGTGCCAAGACCTATCTCTGGGCAAATGCACCTAACACTTTGCAAAAAATTTTTACAACAATGGCATTATGCTAAGTCAAATAAGTTAAAGAGTCCATTAAATCCACATAGCTTAACTTACACGTGGAATCTAAAAATCAAACCAAAACAGAAACAGACTCATACAAAGAGAGATAAAACTGATGGATGCCAGAACAGAGTAGTGGAATAGATGAAAAAAGGTAAAGACAACATAATCAATAATATTGTGGTAACTTTGCACCATGACAGATCATTACTAGACTTAGTGTGGTGGTCACATTGTTAGGTATATAAATGTTGAATTACTGTATCATACACCTGGAATTAATATAATACTGTGTTACAACTATGCTTAATTTTTTTTTTAAAAAATGACCTCCTGAGATTAAACCATAAACCCCAATACTGCTCTCTCTCATGCTGTGGTGGTGAGAGTACAAAATGGTATAACTACTGTGGAGAAGAATTTGACAATACCTATAAAATTACATATGTATTTACTCTTAGACCATTCAGTCTCATTTCTGGAATCTTATCTTACAAAAATATTAAGTCAAATATGCAAATGGTTATTTTGCACCCCAAACTGGAATGTGACTGTGCAGATATAAAAGGAAATGAGGAAGATCTCTAAAATAGGGAGGGATCTCTAGAACATAGTGTAAAGTGAAAAAAAAAACAAGATGCAGAAATTTTATGCACTATGACATCCTCTGTATTAGCAACAGCAGTGGGGAAAGGAATGTGTATGTGTGTATAGGCAAATGGAATCATAAAAACTGAAACTCTAAAACTGCCACAAATGAACTTGATTCTTTAACAAGGTAATGTTGACAACTACACAAAGAAAAGAATTATTACAACTGAGTTCAGAGCACTGTATCTTCACTGTCCTTCTTCAAGGGGATATACTCTAAAGATAAGAATAACTACATTGATATCTTGATATCATTTGAAGTGGAGTAAGATTTATTTTACTCCATAATTTTAAAAGGGTACAGATTTTTGCTGCTTCTCCAAAAAGATAATACGTGGGAAGGGGATCATTGTCCCAAAAGGAGAAACCTCTAGCTTAAGAGTAGGGCCACACTTAGGGTCAATCTCAGATCTATGGGTGCACCATGTTATGGGAGAACCCACCTGAGGCTCATTATCTAGCTTGATGTGTTTACGGCCCATGAAATCTCAATAATACCCATCTCATGAAGGTAGTGTTTTAGTTTTCATTTTGTTTTGTATTATAGTTTTTTCATTACCATGTATTCCCTTTATATCCTCTTTCACCTCCACGCTTCACCCTCCTCTATGCTATACTTTACATCAATAACTACATGTTGTCTGTGTCCATGAAGTCCTTTTCCTTTTTTGCTTGATCCCTCCACCCTTCAACTCCCCCACCAGAGCTGTCAGCCTGATCTCTATCTATGAGTCTGTCTCTATTTTGCTTCTTAGTTCAATTTGTTTATTAGATTCCAGATAAGAGTGAAATCATATGGTATTTGTCTTTCTCTGACTGGCTTATTTCACTTAGCATAATATTCTCCAGGTCCATCCATGCTGTTGTTAAGGGCAAAATTTTCTTCTTTTTATGGCTGAGTAGTATTCCATTGGGTAAATGTCCCATAGTTGTTTTATCCACTGATGGACACTCGGGCTGCTTCCAAATCTTGACTATCGTAAATAACGCTGCAATGAAGATAGGGGTGCTTATATTCTTTTGAATTAATGTTTCTGGTTTCTTTGGATAAATTCCTAGAAGTGGAATTGCTGGGTCATAAGGCAGATCCATTTTTAACTTTTTGAGGTAACTCCATACTGCTTTGCACAGTAGCTGCACCAATCTGCATTCCCACCAACAGTGCGCAAGGGCCCCACTATCTCTACATCCTTGCTATCACTTGTTGTTCGTTGATTTATTGTTGATGGCCATTCTGACTGGTATGAGGACACATTCACTGCGGTTTCTTCATTTCTCTGATAATCAGTGATGTTGACCATCTTTTCACATATCTATTGGCCATTTGTATGTCCTCTTTGGAAGTGTCTATTCAGGTCCTTTGCCCATTTTTTAATTGAATTGTTTGTTGTTTGGGTGTTGAGTTTCATAAGTCCTTTATAAATTTTGGATATTAACCCCTTATTAGATGTATTAGCAAATATATTCTTCCATTCTGTGGATTTTTTAAATTTTGTTGATGGTTTCCTTTGTTGTGAAAAAACTTTTTAGTATGATGTTGTCCCGTTTGTCTATCTTACTTTTGTTTCCCTTTCCTGAGGATATATATAAGAAAAAATATACAAGCAATGTCTGAGATCTTACTGCATATTGTTTCTCCTAGGACATTTACAGTTTCAAGTCTAACATTTAAGTTTTTAATCCATTTTGAGTTTATTCTTGTGTATGACATAAGAAGATTGTCTAGTTTCATTTTTCTGCACATACTTGTCCAATTTTCCCAATGCAATTTATTGAATAAACTGTCTTTAGTCCATTGTATATCCTTGCTTCCTCTGTCAAATATTAATTACTTAAAGGTGTGGGTTTATTTCTGGACTCTTCTGTTCCATTGATATATGTGTCTATTTTTATGACAGTACCATGCTGTTTTGATTACTATACCCTTATAGTAAAGGTTGATAGTAGGTAGCATGATTCCTCCAACTTTATTCTTTCTCAAGATTGCTATTGCTATTTGGGGTCTTTTGTGGTTCCATATAAATTTTTTGAAATATATGGTCTAGTTCTGTGAAATACATCATTGGTAACTTGATTAAGAATTGCATTGAGTCTATAGTTTGCTTTGGGTAGTATGGACATTTTAATGGTGTTCATTTTTCCTACTCACAAACATGGTATGTGCTGCCACTTATTTGTATCTTTTTCAATTTCTCTCATTCATTTTATAATTTTCCAAGTACAGGTTTTTTACATCCGTGGTTAAATTTATTCCTGGGAATTTCATTCTTTTTGAAGCAAATGTGAATGGGATTGTTAATTTCTCTTTCTGATAGTTCATTATTGGCATATAAAATGCAACTGATTTCTGGATACTAATTTTATATCCTGCTACTTTACTAAAATCATTTATCAGGTCTAAGAGTTTCTTGGTGGGATATTTAGGGTTCTCTACATACATTATCATGTCATCTCCAAATAATGACACTTCTACTTCTTCCTTTCCAATTTGGATGCCTTTTATTTCTTATTTTTGTCTGATTGCTGTGACTAGGACTTCCACTGCTATGTTGGCTATAAGAGGTGAAAGCAAACATCCCTATGTTATTCCCTATCTTGTATCTTGAATGCTTATAGTTTTTGCACGTTGAGTATGATGTTGCTAGTGGATTTGTCATATACAACCATTATTATGTTTAGATATGTTGCCTCTAATCCCACTTTGATGAGAGTTTTTATCATAAATGTGCTGGATTTACCAAATGCTTGTTCTGCATCTATTGATATGATCATGTAGTTTTATCCTTCATTTTCTTTTGTGGTACATCACATTTATAAATTTGTGAATGTTATACCAAGCTTGCATTCCTAGAGTAAATCCCACTTGGTATTGGTGTATTACCTTTTTGATGCATTGCTGCATTTAGTTTTCTAATATTTTGTTAAGGATTTTAGCATCTATATTCATCAGAGATATTGTCTATAATTTTCTTTTTCTGTAACAGCTTTATCTGGTTTTAGAATGGCTTTGTAAAGTAAGCTTTTAAGTCTTCTCTTACATTTTTTGGACTAATTTGAGAAAAAGAGCTCTTCTTAAAGGAGTTCTTACTAGCTCTTTTTAAAAAGGTTTTGGTAAAATTCACCTGTGAAACCATCTGGCCCTGGCCTTTTATTTGTCATGTTTTTTATTTTTTATTACTGCTTCAATTTCACTAGGTGTAATCAGTCTATTCAGATTTTCTGGTCCTTCCTGATTTAGTTTTGAAGACTGTATGTTTCTAGGAATCTGTTCACTTCATCCAGGTTGTCCTATTTGCTGGCATCACAAAGGTTGTTTTAAGGCACATTATTTCCAATATGAGAAAGCCCCTTCCCACATAATTAGCTGCGTCAAGCCTGGAGAAGTTGCTAGAATAGAAAAAGGTCCTCCACCCCATGCCTGATAGAAAGTGGTCAGATAAATGGAAAAGGAGGGGGTTGGGATTATGGTTCCCAGATTTATCAAACAAAAACACTGTCCAGTTAAATTTTGAATTTCAGATAAACAACAAATACCATTTAGTATACTATACTTGTATGAAAAAGTTACTCCTTGCGTTTGAAATGTAAGTTTAACTGAGCGTCCAGTATTTCGTTAGGCAACTGGCGCTTGAGCTCCTTTCCCTTGTCCACAGAAGCATCCCCACTTCCTCCACCCTCCACTGGGCTGGCGCCGCTCATCACTGCGGAGGAGGTACACCGTTCCAGAGGCGCCTACCGAACCCAGGGCAATGAACTAACCCTCGCTGGGCTCAGGGAGCCTGGGCGTCGCTGGAGACCTACACCACTCCCTGATCAAAACGTCCAAACCACCTCTGCCGCAGATGCCCAATAAAACCGCAAAAAAGAGTCTCCCAAACTGCGCGTGCGCCCTTCACGCGCTCACCGCAACGTACGCGTAAACCCTAGGCTCCAGTCGCGTCCCGTCACTAGGCAACGAGAAAGCTCGCCAGGAGGGCGTAGGGGGAACTCAGCAAACTCGAATTGACCCAACCTCAGGTGAGCGAGCGCGTGGGGCGGTGGTGTGAGAAGGAAAACGCGCAGTGGGGGGTGGGGGCTAGCGGGTGGGTGAGCTGAGAGCGCTTGGGAAGGAAGGAGAGAACGTGCGCCCAAGAGGAGGAGTGGTGAGACTACAGCAGAGACTTGCACCATAGAGGCTGTGAGGAGGAGCTGCGGAAGAGAGGAAAGATCTGGGGGGTCCCACGCAATGGGAGAGGTAAAGGGACAGCGGGCTCATCGGGTGGAACCTAACAGGGCTGCCTGTCTATGAAAACACCCCCTCTACGGATGACACCTGGCCAGAGGTGACAATCGCTGCAGGCTCCATGGGCCTGTATTTTCATGACTTCGCACCTTTGCACTTGCGGACGACCTCTGCTTTGGTTCCTTTCAGAATCAGCTCAAGTGCACTCGCCTCCCGGAAGCTGTCCAACACCAGCTAGGCCAGAGCCTGGGAACTAGGCAGTCTTCTCTGGCCTAGCTTTGTACACAATACTCTGCTAGAATTTCCCATGTTCTGTTTTAATTCATGTGCAGAGCAATGCTGGGCAGAAGCCTTAGTAAACATTGGCTGAGATAAGTGCAAAACTGAGCACTAACAGGTGGAGGGGCTCGTGCCCTTGCTTGGGCTCACAAGCATTAGAGCCCTAGTTGATTAAGTCAAGACATATTTACTGAGCACCTACTGTGTTCCTAGCACTGTGAATAGAGTGTGAACAAAGACACCCTCCATGCTCATTGACCTGTTTTACTGAGTCACGAATAGGGAACACCAGTGTAAGCAGACTTTCCCAGGAGCTCTGGGAAACTCCCCCCAAATAGCTCTACCCACTTGGTGAGTGTGTCCTGAGTTGGGTGGAGTGAGCTGTGAAAGCATCCCTTTGCCCACTCCCTCTCCAAGCTTCACATTGTGGTTCTGTTATTGTGGCTCAACTGTCTTGGCAGCAAGCCTTGGTAACTGTCAGATCGACAGTATTTCATTGAGACCATTGTTGAAAGTGTGTAATTTGGAGCAAATGCTTTGTCCAGAAAGGGTTTGCCACACACTGCACAGTGTGGCAACTCGCCCATCTCCTTCCTCCCCATCAACCACCAAGGACTGGGACTGGAGAGACTTCCTGGGAATGCAAAATTAGTGATTCTGTGCTCTGGAAAAGGCAATTCTACAGTAATAAGGGCAAAGTGAATTTGTAACTTTGAATTAACTAGGGATTTTATTATAATGTATACTGAATCTGTAGGTCTGGGATGGGACCTGAAAATCTTCATTTCAACAAGCTCCCAGTTGATGCAGTGCTGCTGATCATGGACCACCCTTGAGTAGAAGGGGAGTAGAAGGTCATTTATCCTGGTGCACTGATTCAGGTGGGACATGGATTGGCAGGTGGAGATGAGCTCCACACCCATTCCCACCCTCCACCTGAGGGGGAGGAAGAAACTTTACCCTTAAGGTTCTTCCAGCTAGTCTAATAGTTCATTAGACATGAGACAGATTAACAAAATAAATGACCAAATTTAATTTCATACATATGTATGGGAACCCTGCACACATGACCCCATATACATGAGAGGTTCAAAGACATAAAGGGAAAATGAGGTATTATATGACATTCTGAGCTAAGGATCACCTTGGAGCTTCAGAGGAGAGGTAGGTCATTGCAGGACACCAAGAAGAACAGATGTTCAGTATTTAAAATTTTTCCCTGCCCTAGGCATAAGGTTAAAATGTTATCTCTGACAATCTCTTATTATTGGAAAAGCCTCTACTTCAAATTCGTCTAGGTAGTTGAGGGGAGGGCGGAGAAGTTTCTCTTGAGACTGAGGGTCTTTGTTGCCTTTAGCTCAAAACAATCTACATATCACAGAGGCACATGTTTGGGTGACTCATTCTGAATACCCCAACCTTAGTGACTTCAAATACACATTTATCCTTTTATAGTTTTTGAAGTCAGAAATCCAAAATGAGTCTTATAGAGCTAAAAACAAATTGTTGGCAGGGCTGGTTCCTTCTGGAGGCTCTAGAGGAGAATCCATTTCCCTGCTCTTCCTGCTTCTAGAGGCTACCCACATTCCTTGGCTCATGGTCCTGAATCACATCACTGTTTTTTCCCCTCTGCTTCCATCATCACATCTCCTCTGTCTGACCTACTGTATCCCTCTTATAAGGAACCTGTGATTACATTGTGCCTACCTGTATAATCCAGATAGCCTCCCCAAATCAAATTCTTTAATCACATCTGCAAAATCCTTGCCATATAACATACTTCATAGGTTCCAGGTATTAGGATTTGGACATCTTTGGGAGCTCCTACTCAGCCCTACCACACTGTATACTTCCTAAGAACAAGGACATTGTCTTATTTACTCACATTTCAACTACCAAAACCAGGAATTTGACCTTGATGCCATTCTGTCATATAATCTACAATTCACACTGAGTTTATCCAATTTTCCTAACAATGTCCTTTGTAGAATTTTTTTCTGGTCCAGATCCAATCCAAGATCATGTATTGCATATAACTGTTATACCTGTTTAGGCTCCTTTGATGTGAATGGTTCCTCATCTTTTTTTGCCTTTCATGACCTTGGCATTTTTAAGAGTTCAAGTCGGTTATACTCAGTTGGGCTTTGTTTGGTGTTTCCTGAAATCAGATTTTTGCACTGGGGGCAGGAATCCATAGAAATGTATTATGTCCCACTAAGAAGTATATTACATCAGAAGACATGTGATGTCACTGTCTCTTATTGATGATATTTACTTTGATCACTAGGTGAAGGTCATGTTGGCCAGGTTTTATCACATAAACTTTCTGTATTTCCCTTTGGACTTAATATAATTTTGGGGGAGAAACTTTGAGACTATATAAATATCCTATTCCTTATCAAATATTCACTGAAATTTAGTATACATTGATGATTCTGGCTTGAGTCACTCTATGATGGGTATAAAATGGTGATTTTTTCAAAAAACTCCATTATTAGTTGGCATTCTACTTGCCATCTCTCTCATTCACTTATTTGTTTTTATATGGACCCATGGATTTTGTTTTACTCAATTAGTTATAATCTATTACAGTCATTATGTATTTTGATAATTAAATTGCACCAAATTCAGCCCGCAGTGGCTCCTTCAAACTAGTTCCTGTGTTCTCAACCATTTTATTTTTCAACAGTTTCTTCCTGGAAAAACAAAATGCTTCAGGCTTATTGGACTTTTCCAACCTCAACCTTGGAATTGGCCACTTCTCCAAGGAGCCCTGATTCCTTTTAAGTAGTTGCAGGTATTTAAAGATAAATTCTGTGTGCTCAGTGTGCTGCTCATTGCTACTGAGGTGTATTTGCTTCTTGGACTTTGCAGTGGGAAGAGCTATGAGATAATATATTTTTTCTATATTAATATCTGTGTATCTATCTATTTATCTTTCCTTCCTTGAACTGCATAATGCCTCTAGAAAATGTTAAGACTATATCTAAGTCTTTATTAGTCACTTTATTATTAACTCTTTTGGAGTTAAAACACGTGAACTTCAGGAATATGGAGTTAGTCAGGAATAGGCTAGGGGCTAGGCCATTTCATATCACGATCTTCCACTGTAATAGCAAATATTTATTAAACACCTACTATATGCCAGGCTTAATGCTTTATACATGTTTATTGTCTCCTTTAATCCTCACAGTTATGAAGCACATACCTTTGTTATTCTGTTTTACAGATAAGAAAACCAAGGCTCACAGAGACTGGTGACTTGCTGAAGACCACACAGCTAATAAATGGCAGAAGCAAGACTGGAACTTGGTCTGTCTGATACCAGAGTCTGCGTTCATACTGCTGCACTACAGCACTACTCCTATTTGCGGTCTAACTCAGGCTGTACTTCCAGCTCTTGAACTCTCATTAGTAGTGAATCCAGGGCCATCACCTCAACCTAAAGTAGCTTCTTGCTTAAAAAATGGAGAGTGAATATTGTGTGAAGTGCTGGCAGAGTTTCTGACCAGCAGTAGCTATAATGCCTGGCATTTTCCCTCCCTATTATCCCCAGGGCTTCTCAGTGTTACCTTATGAAATAAGGAAGACAGTCTTATCTATGTCATAGATGACTATTGCTTCCAATCTCTTAACAGCATAGCTTTCTGGGTACTCAGAGCCCCTCTTTGGACCCATGTCTGCTCAATTATTTCCTTTGCGCTCAAAAGTAGAAATATGTGGGTAAGTGGAGGCTTCCCATCCAAGTACTAACCAGGCCTGACCCTGCTAAGCTTCTGAGATCAGGAACATTCAGGGTGGTATGGCCCTAGACGTGTAAGTGGAAGCTTCAGCCACACTTAATCACCAATCTACCAAGTTCTTGTTAGGCCTGAACTCTTCTGGGACATGTATATTGTCTGACCTAGGAGAGCTTTAGGAAAAAATCCCTTTGAGTGTAAGAGCTACTGGCTTGTATGTATTTATTGATTCTTGGAGAAAGGTGGGATCCAGAAACCTCTCATATTTATCCTGATGAATCCTAATTATGAAACCAAAAAGCCGGCATTCATGTTGCCTATTACCACCAGAACCAATAAGCAGAGACAGGGATTGAATCTTTATGGGTGCTTTATTCAGATGGCTGGCGATCTGAGAAGATGGTGGGTTATGTACCCTAACAGACCATCTTACATTTCCTTTCAAGCCAGCCTTTTTTATAAGGAGAAAAAAGTGTAGGTAAGGGATTTGAAATTCAGGAAAGCTGCAGCCTGGCAAATGTCCCTAACATCCTTTCGTCCATTGACTAGTGATTTTCTATCTGGGTCCTGTGTCCTTGGATGATATTCTTTATCTGTATCCTGGGCATCAGGTTGTCTCTCCCTGGAGCACAATGGCTCATACACCATCTTGATTGCTTATGGTTTCTTCTTTAGTACAAAGGTTGAATTGCTCATGGTCTCCTGGAGTCAGGGTGGGCCATACTTTCAGTTCCTGAAAATAGCTTTTTACATGCATTAACTGCTAAGCTTATTGACTGTTACCAAAAACTAAAAATTTCTATCTCTTGAGTTCCCCATAAATTGGTTAGAATGTGTCTATTTTTTAAATCAAATTAGATTTCTAAAATAGTGCGACTCTTTTGATGTGTCCCAAGCCCACAGGATGGAAACTGATTACTTGAAGAGATGCTTTGGAAATTGCCTTGCCCAGGCCCTGGCAGAGGTGGCAAAGGTTCGACCCAGTGACCCCATAGAGTACCTGGCTCACTGGCTTTATCATTACAGGAAAATCACTAAAACAAAAGAAGAGGTGTGTGTATGTGCCCGGGTCAGCTTGGGGAGGGCTTTCCAGCTTTTCCACAGTAATCTAGGATCCAAGGCAGAACTCTGGAGCTGGCCTGGGGAGTTTTTTGGTTTATTCAGCTTGTGAGAGAGGCTTAGGCCCAGAAATCCTAGAAGCATGGGGAGTTTAAGTGGGGTTGGCTGAAGAAGGAATAAAACTCACATGACTGATGAATTGGTGAGTTTCGAGCTACTAACAGCCTAAAAGCTCATTACGAGAGCAGACTCAGGACACCTGAAGGGCCTGAGGCCAATCCCTGGGAGAGAGGGCCTATTTGTGCAAGCTTCCCTAGGGCTAATCTGATTTAACTCTGTCACTTTACCCCAGAATAGGCAGAAGAAGATCCAGTTGAAGGAGGAATATGATAATAGCCTCAAGGAAACCAAAATGACAGAAATACTGAAGCAAGAAGAGTATCAGATTGAACGAGAGTGTGAAAAGTTGACACCAGGTAGGGAGGAGGAACTCAGCATTTGGGTGCATACATCCCAGTGATGGACACCAGGAAATCCACAGTCATCATCCTGGCCACGGTGCAAAATGGGTTGAGGTCTCCATTAGCCTCCATTTTTTCTGTGTTTATATGTCAATAAGATCATGGCCAATGAAAAAAGAAAATGTTTAAAGGTAATTCCATTTTAGATTTCAGGAAATACTTTAGATGTTACTGGTTTAAAAAATTCAAATTTAAAAAGATCTAATATGTCACTTAGAACAAATATATATTTTTCATAATTACTTAAATACTTTTATTAAAAGAAAACACACATCAAGTTTCATGGTTTCAGAGAAGGTTTGGAGAAAATAGCGCTTTATAAAATTTTAGTAGTTTTTCTTTAAAAAAATGGACACATGTATAGTCCAAAGAGCATAATGAATACATGTTAAAACAACACAAAGAAACATATGGAAAATTAGGTTAACTTGAAGGCAAACCGAATTCACCAGGCCTTTCATATATTCAAATTATGTTTGCAGTAAAAAGTTTTAGTATCACAATTTAGAATAACATAATCTAGATAATAGATTTTGAAAGTTTTACATTTAATTCTACTTGTTTAGTGGTTATGGCTATTTTTTCATGTTTCATTCAAATGTGTTTTATAAACTTTTATGATAAAACTAAAGAATTGTGGGTTTGGGGGGAAAACTTTTTAGAGAATTGTGTGAATTTTTTTTAATGAGACAGTTCATTCTCTTACAGTATTTTCATTCTGCTTTTAATTTTTTAAGTATTTTTTGTTGATTATGCTATTACAGTTTTCCCAATTTTCCCCCTTTACATGCCTCCACCCTGTCCCTCCAATCCTCCAGCCCTCCCCCTGCTTAGTTCATGTCCATGGGTCATACATATAAGTTCTTTGAGTCCTCTGTTTCCTATACCATTTTTTTATGTCTCCCAGTCTATTTTATGCCTACTTATTATGCTTCTTCTTCCCTGTACCTTTCCCCCCACCACCCCCCACCCAAAATCCCTACATGTGATGTCCATTTCTCTGATTCTCTTCCTATTCTGGTTGTTTGCTTAGTTTTTGTTTTCATTGTTTTTCTTAGGTTCAGTTGTTGATAGTTGTGAGTTTGTTGTTATTTTACTGTTCATATTTTTTATCTTCTTTTTTTTTAGCTAAATTCCTTTAATATTTCATATAATAAGGTCTTGGTAATGATGAACTCCTTTAACTTGACCTTATCTGGGAAGTACTTTATCTGCCCTTCCATTCTAAATGAAAGTTTTGCTGGATAGAGTAATCTTGGATGTAGGTCCTTGCGTTTCATGACTTCAAATATTTCTTTCCAGCCCTTTCTTGCCTGCAAGGTTTCTTTTGAGAAATCAGCTGATATCCTAATTGGCACCCCTTTGGAGGTAACTTTTTCCTTTGCCCTTGCTTCATTTAGGGTTTTCTCTTTGTCTTTAATCTTGGGTAACTTAATGATGATGTGCCTTGGTGTGTTCCTCTTTGGATCCAACTTCTTTGGGACTCTCTGGGCTTCCTGGACTTCCTGGAAGTCTATTTCCTTCACCAGATTGGGGAAGTTTTCCTTCATTATTTATTCAAATAAGTTTTCAATTTCTTGCTCTTGTTCTTCTCCTTCTTCCACCCCTATAATTCAGATATTGGAATGTTTCAGGTTACCCCAGAGATTCCTCAGCCTCTCTTCATTGTTTTGGATTCTTGTTTCTTCATTCTGATCTGGTTAGATATTTATTTCTTCCTTTGATTGCTTTGAGTCCTAGTTTCCTTCCTGTCACTGTTGGTTCCCTGAATGTTTTGCTTTATTTCATTTTGGGTATCTTTCATTTTTCAACCAAGCTCAATCAGTTCTCTGAGCATTTTGATTACCAGGGCTTTAAATTCTCCATCAGATAGATTGGTGATCTCCTCCTCTCTTAGTTGTCTTTCTGAGGTTATGCTCTGTTCTTTCATTTGGGCCCTATTTCTCTGTCTTGATGCAGCTGATAGGTTGTAAGGGGGCAGGGCCTTAGGTATTCACCAGGCAGAGCAACCCTCTTTGCTGTGCTGTGGTGCTGCCTGTGTGGGAGGGCCCAGAGAGGGAACAGTGCAGCTCACCTGCCCATCTGTAGCGCGGCTTTCATTGAACTCTCCTGGGAGACTGGGAGAAACCCCCACCATAGACATCCCCACAGTCTGCCAAGTCGCTGCAGTTTTTCTGAGTTGACTCTCATGGTCCTCGCCTTACCAGTATGGTTGCTCTGGTTGATTTTTTCTTTAATTCCTTGGTTGTCAGAGTTCCATGCAGTTTGATTTTCTGGTGCTTTTGGTTGGTTGTTGATTTTAGATTGGTTGTTATCCTCCTTTTGGTTGTGCAAGAAAGTGAAGGGTTTCTACCTACACCTCCACCTTGGCTGCAACTCCGGAGCAAATATATTTTTATACAGGATCCTTTGAGCCCTTTTCAAAAGTTATTCAATGTTTTTTTAAAGATTTTATTTATTTTTAAAGAGAGGGGAAGGGAGGGAGAAAGAGAGGGAAAGGAACATCAATGGACGAGGCAACTGATAGATGTATCAGTTGCCTTTTGCACACCCCCAACCAGGGACCTGGCCTACAACCCAGGCATGTACCCTGACTGGGAATCAAACTGGTGACCTTTCAGTTCTCAGGCCAGCATTCAATCCACTGAGCCACACCAGCCACGGCAAATTATTCAGTGTTTTTTAAAAACCAAATATGGTTATCATTATATACTTCAGATATATTATTTTATTTATTTATGTATAAAGCCACAGATGCCACCTCTGTAACAATGGCCATAAATGAATAACTTAGAATAGTTGGAAATAACTGAGTATTTATTTGTCTGATAAGCATATCTTTTGTCTCCATAATTTTTGCCACAATCTTCTGGAAAATGTGTCATTCTGTGTTTCTACAAAGTACATGATGCCCAGATAGGAAATTGACTTACTGACCTTGAAATCTGACATTTTTGTAACTATCACTACATCCATGTATTAAAAACTTTAATACAGTCTTATACAATTAACAAGCTTTTGCTAGTTTTCAAAGCCCACTTTGATGAAAACATGAAAGTATTAAGCTTACTTACATTTATGTGGATATGCCAGCTTTACTCATAAACAATTAATAGATTTTTTTAAAAGTCTGGATGTTTCATAAATAAATCAAACAAAGATGATTTTATACTATTGTTAGACAGTAGTCTTATCACCAAGCAGACCGGGGCCCATCCCTACAGCGCCTTGGTGAATGACCCAACAATTAATGCTGGAAGGAGCAGGTGTTTCTTTATAACATTCCAACCCAGGGGGTGCTCACACCTCAGCTCAGAACCCTCCTTTTCCATGAGACCCAGCACTTCCCATGCTCCCTACCAGGCCACTAGCCGAAAACATCCCCCAAAGTTTCCTGTGTTCTTATATGTACTGCAGTATCTGGAGTACATTGCCATTAGCTTTTTAATGGTAGTCCAGAAATCATGTGCCATGTTACTCTGGATTGTGGTGAAACTCAGGAAAGGCACAGGTCTTAAAAGTCTGGGTAAAATCCAGGTGTAGCAGGATGGGATCTTGTAAGGAAGTCCTTTGCAGCTCCGGAGTCAGCTAGAGCAGGCACTATCACAGCAACAGCATCTCCTTTCTTATTAGTCCAGGCCACGTGGCCTACTTCCTCACTGTAAACTACATAGCTGCTTATTTCTCTCTTCCAAGCCCTATGGCAAAAATCCCTTACTACAGATAGTATGTCTCTTCTTTCACTACTACTCCCCTCATGGCCAAAAGCAGAGTGTGCATGAGAGAGAGAGAGAGAGAGAGGGAGAGAACAAGAGAGCCGCATGGGTGCTATATAATCCCTTCTTCATGTCTCTTCTATTCCCTTCCAAGCCACAGGACAGAGAGAGAGAATGGCTGCTGTGCTTAAGTTTAAATCCTCACTCTGAACTTCCTCTATAGCCCCATTTCCAAGTTTTCTTTTATGCTTTGCTAGAACAAGTCTGTTTCCATTTTGTTCTTAGTCTTGAGCATGAAAATGGCAATATTGTGTTCTTGCCATACTACGTGTGTTTTACTCTCTGCTAGTGACTGTTTTGCTTTTTTTGTTTTCTCTTTAGCCACTGATATCAGTAGCTAGTTCCACAAAGAAGACCATATTCATGTAGGAGAACACAAACTCCTTGAAAAGGAGTCCTGGAAGCAGGAATGCCTGTGCAGTACTTCTAATATGATCCCAGGAGTGCCTCAACAGATTCCTTCTTCCGACTCATCTGGCCAGGCTGGCTAGAATGTCAAAACTCCACAAGAAGTAAATTAGTAGGCTTTTCAACATGAAGTACTCCAGAAATGCATCCTGGCTCCGTATCTCCTTATGTTATCAGAGGGTGGATAATTCTGATGATGCTTCTCTCAAAGCTGCAAGCCAAAAAACAGTCATCTAGAAGAGCTCTTACCTAAAGATGATAACCGTATGGATTAAACCAAGATTTGAGGGGCTGTGGAAGGAGGTGTCTGCGGGGACTCTCCAGCTCAAGTTCTATTCTGATGGCTATGAAAATTCCTTAGTTATGTGGAAATTTGAACTAGTTATAGGATAAAATAAACTCAATAAGGATTTAAAATAAATAACTGAACTGATGAACTATTTTCCTCCTGTGTTATTTATTTATTTATTTTTGGAGACTAGGCAGTGAAAACACAGCTATGTCATGTGATCATGTCTTTGCTTTACTGAACTTTGCAGTCAGGCCCTCCAAGTGTCACACCTGCCCCAGACTGTACCTCTGTTACTGACAAGACATATTTTGAAACAGCTCCAATGTCAACAAAATTCAAAGATTTGAACATTTTAAAAAATTATTTTATATCTGTAGTCATTCAAATATCATCTATATGCTGGTGACTTCAGATTTATATTTTTAACTAAGATTTTCTTAAATTGACTGCCTGTTTGACATGTGCTTGAATTACCAATGGACATCTTAGAACTTAATTTATCCAACTGGAATCCCTGATATGCTCCCTGAACCAGTATTGCTCCCTTCTTCTATTTGCTCAGGTCAAAACTCTTGGTTTCATCCTCTATTTTTTTTCATCCTCCATCTGGTCTGTTGGCTTTCCATTTAAAATAAAAACAGAACTCACCCACTTGAATGTAGCCCAAGCTACAATTATATTTTGCTTAGATTATTACAATAGCCTGTTAACTGGTCATCTTCTGCCCTTGACCTTTCCCAGTCTATCCTTCTCAGTCTTTGAAGCCAGGACGATTTTAGTAAAACATAAGTCATATCATGCTTAATGAGCAGCTTCCCATCGCAGTACCAGAAACATTCAAGGCACTACCTATAACCTGTCAGCATCTATAAGATCTGCCTGCTTCCCCATCACCTTCACTCTCTGTATTCTCTCCACTTCAGACACACTGACAAGGCATGGTCCCACCTCAGAACTTTTGCTTTCTTCTTTTTCTCTCTTGTAATTCTCCCATCTACCCACATACCTCCATTTCTGCAGATTCTCTTTTCCTCAGGTCTTTCTCAAAGGTTGCCTTTTCTTATTTATTTTTGTATTTATTTATTGTCTACAAAACTCAGCATGATGCAGCACATAGGCTATAATCATCTAATACATACAAGATGAAATTAAATCTGTTTCTCAAATGTACCCTTATTTTATTTATAAGTGGAAAAGATTTTTCTCAGTCACTACATAAAAGAAAATGTGGTCCTGATACTTCTGAAGTAAATCTCTAAGGCCAAAAAAGGAGCTCTTCTTTGAAAGCTTAGCAGGATTTGTATGATAACCCTAGGAAAATGGCCTTAATTTTCCTTTACCAAAAGTTGCCTTTTCAGTGAAGTGTTTTCTGGCTGTCAGATAGATAGATAGATAGATAGATAGATAGATAGATAGATAACTATCCTACCTATACTTCCTATATACTACATACATCCTATCTGGACTTCCACACACATTTGGTACCCTCTTCCCTGTCAGTCTCCTTCAGTAGAATGTGAGCTCCATGAAGACAGGAATTTTTTCTCTTTATTTTTGTATCCCCAGCACCTAAAACTGCCAGCACATAAGAGGTGCCCAATAAATATCTGTCAAGTGCATAAATGAATTTATACAAGGGCTAAACTCATACCAAATGTGAAAATGGCAAGGTAGCCATTTTTGATTGGCACAAGGATTTGTTGGCAATTCCACACCCCTGACCTTTTCTTCTTTTTTTTTATTTTAATCATTGTTCAAATACAGTTTTCTCCTTTTTACTCCCCATCCAGTCCCCTCTCCCACTCTCCCCACTTCCCTCCCATTACCACCCTCCCCTTAGTTTATGACCATGTGTCCTTTAAGTTTGTTCCTGTGAACCCTTCCCACTGTCCCCTTAAATTCCCTCTTCTCTCCCCTCCGGTCACAATCAGCCTGTCCTCTATTTGAGTGTCTTTGGTTATATTTTGCTTGTTTCTTTGTTTTCTTATTTAGGTTCCTGTTAAAGGTGAGATCATATGGTATTTGTCTTTCACTGCCTGGCTTCTTTCGCTTAGCATAATGTTTTCCAGCTCCATCCATGCTGTTGCAAAGGGTAGGAGCTCCTTCTTTCTTTCTGCTGCATAGAATTCCATTGTGTAAATGTACCATAGTTTTTTGATCCATTCATTTACTGATGGGCATCTTGGTTGCTTCCAGCATCTAGCTATTGTAAATTGTCCTTCTATGAACATTGGGATGCATAGGTTCTTTTGAATTTGTGTTTTAGTATTCTTAGGATAGAGTCCCAGCAGTGGAATTGCAGGGTCAAAAGGCAGATCCATTTTTAGTTTTCTGAGGAAGTTCCATACTGCTTTCCATAGTGGTTGTACCAGTCTGCAGTCCCACCAACAGTGCACTAGGGTCCCCTTTTCTCCACAACCTCTCCAACACTTGTTATTTGTTGCTTTGTTTATGATGGCCATTCTGTCTGGTGTGAAGTGGTATCTCATTGTGGTTTTAATTTGCATCTCTCTGAGAGCTAGCGATATTGAGCATCGTTTCATGTGTCTTTGGATTTTCTGTATGTCCTCCTTGGAGAAGTGCCTGTTCAAGTCCTTTGCCCACTTTTTAATTGGATTCCTTGTCTTCTTAGAGTGCAGTCTTGTAAGTTCTTTATGTATTTTGGAGATTCAACCCTTGTCTGAGGTATCATTGGCAAATATGTTTTCCCATACAGTTGGTTCTCTTTTAATTTTGATACTGTTTTCTTTAGGTGTGCAAAAGCTTTTAATTTTGATGAGGTCCCATTTGTTTATTCTTTCCTTTATGTCCCTTGCTCTAGGAGACATGTCAGTAAAAAGTTTCTGTGTGAAATATCTGAGATTTTCCTACCTATGTTCTCTTCTAGGACTTTAATGGTGTCATGGTTTATATTTAAGTCTTTTCTCCACCTTGAATGTATTTTTGTATAAGGTGTAAGTTGGGGCTCAAGTTTCATTTTTTTGCACGTAGCTGTCCAGTTCTCCTAACACCATTTGTTGAAGAGGCTATTTTTATTCCATTTTATGTTGCTGCATCCTTTGTCAAATATTAATTGACCATAGAGACTTGGGTTTATTTCTGGGCTCTCTGTTTTGTTCCATTGGTCCAAGTGCTGGTTTTTATGCCAGTACCAGGCTGTTTTGATTACAGTGGCCTTGTAGTATAGTTCAGTGTCAGGTATTGTGATCCCTCCTACTTTACTCTTCTTTCTCAAAATTGCAGCAGCTATTTGGGGTCATTTATAATTCCATATAAGTTTTTGAAGTGTTTCTTCTATGTCTGTGAAATAAACCATTGGTACTTTAATAGGAATTGCATTGAATGTGTAAATTGCTCTGGGTAGTATGGACATTTTGATGAGTCTGCTTAAAGGCTTGTCGATTTTCTTTATCTTTTCAAAGAACCAGCTCTTGGATTCATTGATCCGTAGAATTGTGCTTTTAGGCTCTATGTCATTTAATTCTGCTCTGATCTTGGTTATTTCCTTCCTTCTGCTTGCTCTGGGCTGCCTTTGTTGTTGTTCCTTGAGTTCTTGTAGACGTAGGATGAGGTTGTTTGTTTGGAATGTTTCTAACCTTTTTAGGTGGGCCTGTATCGCTATGAACTTCCCTCTCAGGACTGCCTTGGCTGTGTCCCATAAGTTTTGGGTTGTTGTGAGTTCATTTTCATTTGTTTCCAGAAACCTTTTGATTTCTTCCCTAATATCATTCTTGACCCATTCATTGTTTAATACCATGCTATTTAATCTCCATGATTTTGAGTGTTTTTGTTTTTTTTTTCCTTCAGGTTGGTTTCAAGCTTCAGTCCCTTCTGGTCTGACAAAATGCTTGGTATGATTTCAATTTTCTTGAAATTCTTGAGGCTTGTTTTGTGTCCTATCATGTGGTCTATTTTTGAGAATGCTCCATGTACATTTGAAAGGAATGTTTATTTAGCTTCTTTTGGATGGAGGGTTCTGTGTATATCAGTAAAGTCCATTTCATCAAGGGTATTGTTCAGTGCCACAATATCTTTGTTGATATTTTGTTTAGAAGATCTGTCCATTTTTTGATAGTGGGGTGTTAAAATGTCCCACTATAATTGTGTTGCTGTCCATATCTTTCTTGAAGTCCTCTAAGATTTTCTTTATGTATTTCGGTGCTCGTATGTTGGGTGCATATATATTTACAATATTTATGTCTTCTTGATGGAATCTTCCCTTGAGTATTATGAAGTGACCTTCTGGGTCTCTCTTTATGGCCCTTTTTTGGAAGCCTATTTTGTCTGATACGAGTAGTGCTACCCCGGCTTTTTTTTCCTGTCCATTTGCTTGGAAGATTTGTTTCCAGCCCTTCACTTTCAGCCTGTGTAGGTCTTTTATCCTGAGGTGGGTCTCTTGTAGACAGCAGATATGTGGGTCATTTTTTCTTATCCAATCAGCTATTCTATGTCTTTTGACTGGAGCATTTAATCCATTTACATTTAAGGTTATTATTGATAGGTACTTATTCATTGTCTTTTATGTAGGTGTGTTCCTTTCTCTCTCTCTCTCATTTCCCTCCCTTCCTTAAAGCAGTCCTTTTATAATCTCTTGCAGAGCTGGTTTGGTCGAGGCATATTCTTTTAGACTTCTTTTGTCTGGGAAGCTTCTTATTTGGCCTTCTATCTTGATCGAGAGCCTTGCTGGATATAGTAGCCTTGGTTGCAGACCTCTGGTTCTCAATACCTGGAGTATTTCTTGCCATTCTCTTCTGGCTTGAAGTGTTTCCATTGAGAAGTCAGCTGTTAGCCTTATTGGGGCTCCCTTGTATGTCACTTCCTTTTTCTCCCTTGCTGCCTTTAAGATTCTCTCTTTGTCTTGAAATTTTGTCATTTTAATTATGATGTGCCTTTTGGTGGGTCTCTTTGCATTCCCCTTGATTGGGACTCTCTGTGTTTCCTGGATTTGTGTGACTTTTTCTCTCATCAAATTAGGGAAGTTCTCCTTCATTACTTGTTCAACTAGGTTTTCGATCCCTTATTCTTCTTCTCCTTCTGGTATCCCTATTATATGGATATTATTACATTTCATATTGTCTTGCATTTCTCTTAATCCCTCTTCATTCTTTCTGAGCCTCTTTTCCTTTTCTTGCTCTTTCTGGG